GCTTCGATTTAGGGGATTTCCTTATAGCACCCGATATTTGCGCTAAAAACTCAAATACTTTTGGCTAATTGAGCTTTATTTAAGACAGCATTTAGTTCAAAATCATTTATGTACGTTCATGTCTACTCCTGCTTTCTGCATCTTTTTTCACCGTCGTATATCTTTCATTACCCTAGCTTACTATTTGAGTTGCGACACCAGTTCAGTCATCATTATTGTAAGGAGATGTTATGATCCACATCTTTATTTCTTGGCTTACACTTTTTTCAACTGCGGTGAATAATGTAGGCAGTTGCGTGATGCGGCGAGTTTATATATAAGCTTTTTTGTGTGGCAGATCAAGTAATTTCTAGCGTGAACCAATCTTGTGTTGGAGTGGAAATTGAAGTTTTTATTGTATTTGTTCTCACCGCGCACTTGTTCCTTTTTGTCATCAATAATAGAGCTCAATCAAACAGTGGGTTATTGAGTCTCTACCTAGGGTGAATTGAAAATTGTTATTTGTATTGAGGTCGCACTATTCGTAGATTTGGGTGTTTATGATTGTTATCTCAGATGCAAAAGTGAGAGAATTCTGTTCCATAATTGACATAGACGAAGTGGAGAATAACTACGTGTGGCTCGCATCCCTGGCTAGGGCGAATTCGCGATTACAGAATGACATTGTCGTTTGACGTACGAAATGGCGCGCCATGCAATTAGCAACCGCATGCCCGCCGTTCTTTTGCGTCCCGTTTAGTCCCATACGCGACAAACTCGATACTATTATGTCCACTACGATGTGTGACATTAAATCGATATGTATAGTGAAATCGAAAACCACATGTAACGATGAACGTAGAAACTGGATTCGAGTCACAAGCGCGCAGCCGCTGAAGACGCTTGAACGCGCGACGAAATTGGGGACTTGTCACTTAAAAGAGACACCGGGTTTTGTTTCGTTTTGGAAAATAAAGTACACTGGGAAATCTTTATTCGCTGCCAGGTGTATCAATCTGGTCATAAGATAACATCATTGCCAGAGATTTTCGATTTTGAGACGATAAATCACGGAGAGTAGTTGATTTATTGCTTTTCCAGCTCTATTTGTCTAATTGTATCATTTGTCATACTGCTGTATTTTAGACAAAAAGGGACATGCTGTCGGTGAAAATATCACGATTTTATCGACCGGAAGATGTGCCGGAAATTTCGCTCAGCCTCATTGCTCAAGAGCGAATGGAAATGGATTTTGCGGAGGAACCTACCCCAGAAGCACTTTCTCGAGAGCTGTTCACCTCTGACACCACCACATTTCATTCCATTGCTAGCCTAAGGTGAGGTTTTACAGTGTTTTCGTTTCTTTCTGTTCTATCTTTTAAAGCTGCTTTTCCCGTGATATCGCCAAGCTTTCATCATTCCATTTTTGCTCGTTCTCTGACGAGATGGCGTCGTTGTTATGCGAGCGCTCTCTACACTTTTTCTCCTTCTCCCATTCCACTCATGAGCTGCCCTTTACGCGCATTCGAACGCTGTTTTTGCGTCCCATATCTATTAGTGGTGAGTGTTTGAAGATAATGGGCGCGCATATCCCTTGACGCTCTTCAAAAAGCCGAGCGAGGCATCGTATAGAGTTGGTCTATGCATGACAGACTGACTCACATATACAGCACATTGTCCAAACTAATATGCCAAGTTTTGTGAACTTTTTCCTATTTTTGGAATGCTGACTCATTTTATAAGGATTCCTAATCAGTTGGATGAGAAATAAGTTCCTGTAAATGTCATTAATTCAGAGAAAATTATTAGGTTGGCTAAAAAATAATTTCGTTTTGGAACGAA